GCAGGGGCCCAAGCACTTGGGTCATCTTCTACTGGTTTCCAGCCTGCCTTTCAAATAAATTTTAACAAGTTTTCTGATTACATTGGTATAAAGATAAGCATAATCAGGGTTGCACTCACTCTTTCCTCTCTGCTTGAAGAAAAATTAAAAGCATGTTGTTAGAGGCTGGTGTAGCGTAGCAGATAAAGCTGTCCGTGATGCTGGCATCCCATATCAGTGCTGGTTTGAGCCTGATTGCTCTGCTTCTGATGCAGCATATTTAGAAAAACTTTTTGCTGTTTCTAAAGATGCCACGACACCTAAGCACTATGTGAAAATGAATACTTTGGCCCTGTTTTCACTCTGGACAGTTCATAGATTTTTGCTTTTCCTTCATGTATTTGGGGATTCCCCAGAATGCCAGATAGTGTTTGGGTCTCTGTTAACTTTTTTGTTTGTTTTATTTAAAAGGTGGAGATACAGAGAGGAGAGAAAGAGCTTCCATCTGCTGGTTCAGCCAGAAACAGCTGCAATGGCTGGAGCTGGGCCAGGTTGAAGTCGGGAGTCAGGAGCTTTCTCAGGGTCTCCTGCATGGGTGGCAGGAGCCCAAGGAATTGTGCCATCCTCCACTGTCCTCCCAGACATTAGCAGAAACAGCAGCCAGGACATGAACCAGCACCCATGTGGGATGGTGGCGCTGCTTCCCCTTCTACGCCACTGTGGTGTCCTGTTACTTCTTACTATGTTTCCTTTTTTCTCTTTTATAAACAAGCCTTTGTTGGGTGCCTGTTCTGTTGCAGGCTGGGGGAGTAAAAATCAGTACGCACTGAAGTGCTTATTTTAACAGCAGGTCGCTGCCTTCGACCATATCCTTTCTGGGACATTGGTGCACAAGAAGCCCGGTGTGAAATCCTTTCTTTTTGAAATACATTATTGTTTTCTTTCCTTTTTCTTTAAAGAGAGATTTTATGTCTGTTTTTCACTCTCCAAATGCCTGCAACTGCTGGGACTGGACCACATGGATGGCAGGAGCCCAAGTACTTTGGGTCATCATCATCTTTCTTTCCAGGCACCTTTAGCACAAACCGGATCACAACATAGGTGGGGGCCGGTGTTCTGCCAAAGCTGGGTAAGCCTGCATCTGTGATGCCGGCATCTCATATGGGCACCAGGTCAAGTTTTACCTGCTCCACTTCTGATCCAGCTCCCTGCCAATGCAATTGGGAAAGCAGCAGAAGATGGCCCAAGTGTTGGGCCCTTGCACCCATGTTGGAGACCTAGAAGAATCTCTGGGCTCCCGGCTTTGGGCTGACAAAGCCCCAGCTGTTGAATATTTGCACTTGAACATGACAGAATGACCCTGAGTACATTTTTTTAACATTTATTTGAAAGTTACACAGAGAAAGAGGTCTTCCATCTGATGGTTCACTCCCCAGTTGGCTGCAACTGCCAGAGCTGTGCCAATCTGAAGCCAGGAGCTTCTTCTGGGTCTCCCACGTGGGTGCAGGGGCCCAAGCACTTGAGCCATCTTCCACTGCTTTCCCAGGCCATCCCAGAGAGATGGATTGGAAGTGGAGCAGCTGGGTCTCATACCAGCACCCACATGGGATGCTGGCACTTCAGGCCAGGGCATTAACCCACTGTGCCACAGTGTCAGCCCCCTGAGTACATTTTGAAATGGAGCTGTTGAGAGTAGGGCCTTCTGTATACACATGACATTAAATTTACTTGTACAAGAACCCTAGTCTGCTAGTTCACCCCCACCCCCCAAATACACGCAATAGTTAAGCTGAAGTCAAAAACTCAATCCAGGTTTTCCACGTGGATGGGAGGAAACCAATCACTTAAAAGTTAGCACTGCTGCCTCTCAGGGTGCGCCTTAGCAGGAAGCTGAAACAGAAAGAGCCAGGACTCAAAACTGAGAGGCACTCCAGTAGGAGTTTCTGGGATCCCAGCTTGCAGTTCGACCAGTAGTCTGAACACTTGCCCAGGGAACTTTATTTATTTATTTTATTTTTTGACAGGCAGAGTGGACAGTGAGAAGAGACAGAGAGAAAGGTCTTCCTTTTTGCTGTTGGTTCACCCTCCGATGGCCGCTGCGGCCAGCCGGCGCACCGCGCTGATCCGATGGCAGGAGCCAGGTGCTTCTCCTGGTCTCCCATGAGGTGCAGGGCCCAAGCACTTGGGCCATCCTCCACTGCACTCCCTGGCCACAGCAGAGAGCTAGCTAGCTGGCCTGGAAGAGGGGCAACCGGGACAGAATCCGGCACCCCCACCGGGACTAGAACCTGGTGTGCCGGCGCCGCAAGGCGGAGGATTAGCCTAGTGAGCCAAGGCACCGGCCAGGGAACTTTATTTTTAAAAACTGGGATCATGGGGCCGGCGCCGTGGCTCAATAGGCTAATCCTCCACCTTGCGGCGCCGGCACACCGGGTTCTAGTCCCGGTTGGGGCGCCGGATTCTGTCCCGGTTGCCCCTCTTCCAGGCCAGCTCTCTGCTATGGCCAGGGAGTGCAGTGGAGGATGGCCCAGGTGCTTGGGCCCTGCACCCCATGGGAGACCAGGAAAAGCACCTGGCTCCTGGCTCCTGCCAAGATCAGCGCGGTGCGCCGGCTGCAGCGGCGGCCATTGGAGGGTGAACCAACGGCAAAAGGAAGACCTTTCTCTCTCTGTCTCTCTCTCACTGTCCACTCTGCCTGTCAAAAAAAAAAAAAAAAAAAAAAAAACTGGGATCATGACTCTTGGTTTCTCATTAGTGTAAGTGCCTTTTTTTTTTTTTTTTTTTTTTTTTTTTTTTTTTTTTTTAGATTTTATTTATTTGACAGAGTTACAGCGAGAGGGAGACAGAGAAAGGTCTTCCATCCTGTTCACTCCCTAAATGGCTGCAACAGCCAGTGCTGGGTTGCTCAGGAGCCTCTTGGGAAACCTCTGGGTTTTCCATGTGGGTGCAGGGGCCCAAGCATTTGGGCCATTTTCCACTGCCCTCCTGGGCCACAGCAGAGAGCTGGATCGGAAGAGGAGCAGTGGAACTCGAACCGGTGCCCATATGGGATACTGGTGCTGCGGGTGGAGGATTAACCTGTGCCACAGCACTGGCCCCAGAAGTGCTCTTTTTAATGACTTCATATGAATCACTTATTTATATTTCATATTCTCATGGTGGGAAGAGTTCTCATCTATGTTCTTGGAGAGGCAGGCAGGGATTGCATGCCCTGAGTGGATGCTTGGGCCCTGGCTGAGGGCCTGAACCTGAGCAGGGCCCCTTTGTGTCTCGCTGTTCCAGGACTACATTGCAGTGAAGGAGAAGTATGCCAAGTACCTGCCCCACAGCGCAGGGCGGTATGCTGCCAAGCGCTTCCGCAAAGCACAGTGCCCCATCGTGGAGCGCCTCACCAACTCCATGATGATGCACGGCCGCAACAATGGCAAGAAGCTCATGACCGTGCGCATTGTCAAGCATGCCTTCGAGATCATCCACCTGCTTACTGGTGAGGTAGGCCTCTGAGGCAGAGCGTCCGGCTGTGCCCTTAACACACCCAAAGCCCGTGGTGTGCGTGCAGGCTCATCCCCTGTGGGTGCGATTTCCCTGTTACAGGTGTGGGGTGCGTGGGCTCATAATCCCCTCTCTCCCAGAACCCTCTGCAGGTCCTGGTGAACGCCATCATCAACAGCGGCCCCCGAGAGGACTCAACACGCATTGGGCGAGCTGGGACAGTGCGACGACAGGCTGTCGATGTGTCCCCGCTGCGCCGTGTGAATCAGGTGTGTTTAGCTGGAGCTGCACTTCTCCAGGAGCTTGGCTGCCTTGCCACCTGGTGCAGGACAGATCCAGGCTCTGCCCTCTGGCCTACATTAGGCTGACGTCTGATTTCAGCCAGGTGTGCTCACATGCACCCTTTTTATTCTTGGATCATTTGAGATTTGGTTGCAGACATTGTCGTTTTCCCCCAAATACATTCCCATCATTCTATCCCATCCCACCCCACCCCACTTTTTTTTTTTTTTTTTTTTTTAAGATTAAATTACTTGAAAGGCAGGGTGACAGGGAAAGAGGAAGTACAACAGCTGGGCTGAGCCCCAGTCCAAATCCAGGAACTAGGAATTCTATCTAGTTCTGTGTGGGTGGAGAGTGCTCGAGTACCTGAGCCATTATCTGCTGCTTCCCTGCCAGGCACATTAACGGGGAGCTGGCTCAGAAGCAGAGTAGCCAGAACTCAAACCTGTGCTGAAGTGACATCACAGCCCACTGTACCACGTGCCCACCCTACCCCCAAGAAACGTAACGGTAGTAATAAACTGAGCCAGCTACTGTTCCATCTGTACGTCTGCCCCCAGCATGCCCTTGAGTTTCCTTGTCAAGGGTCCAGGTCGAGAGCATGCATTGTGTTTTCTGTCGCGGTAGGTAGGCTTCAGGTCTTCTACCATTAAGGACGTAACCTTGGGCTGTGCCTTTTCTGCCCTGTAACTGATCTGAGATCCGGCAGGATAGCACCTGCCTCTGTTTCTGGCCGTGAGTGATGGGGTGATCGCCTGCATCTGCTGAGGGCACTGGGCTTAGCCTGACCCCCGTATTTCTAGGCCATTTGGCTGCTGTGCACAGGCGCTCGTGAGGCTGCCTTCCGGAACATCAAGACCATCGCTGAGTGCCTGGCAGACGAGCTCATCAACGCTGCCAAGGTGTGTGGGGGCACTGGGGCTGGGAGGGTCAGGTGATGTTTGGGGGTAGTCCTCCATCATCTGCAGCTAACCTGGTCTCTTTGTAGGGTTCTTCCAACTCCTATGCCATCAAGAAGAAGGATGAGCTGGAGCGTGTGGCCAAGTCCAACCGCTGAGTTCCCAGCTGCTGCCCAATAAACCTTTCTGCCTTTGGAGCGGCTCCACTCTGCTGTGTCGTTGTCCATCCTTGGGGCAGGGTCAGTGTGGCCATGGCGGCCTGGGGGCTGCTGCTTAGTCTGTAGGGGCTCTTCTGGCAGAACCATGGTGTCAGCTGTAGCTCAGTCTGCCTGGAGGGTTCTAGCTGAGGAACTGGCACGTCAGACAGCACTGGGCTGGGAAGGGGCTTTGTTGGGAGCTAACCATCCTGGACCCTGTTACCTGGAAACATCGTCCAGTTCAGGGAGTGAGGGCCTGTGTTGTAGGCCACATTCTCCACTCTGTCTGCTGGCCACACCCTGGGATTCGTGAGATCCACCATCATGTGGCTTCATTCTGACCATGGTTGATGGCTATGGCCCAGGGCCCCCATACCCGCCCCCCCCCTTTTTTTTTAAGTTTTATTTATCTGAGAGGTAGAGTTACAGACATAGTGGGAGAGACAGATAGGTCTTTGATGTGGTCCACTCCCTGAGTGGCTGCAGCGCCTGGATCTGGGCCAAGCTGAAGCCAGGAGCTTCCCTGGTCTCCCATGCGGGTGCAGGGGCCCAAGCACCTGGGCCATCTGCTGCTGCTTTGCCAGGCTGTAGCAGAGCGCTGGATCAGAAGCGAAGCAGCCAGGATACAAACTGGCACCTGTATAGGATGCCAGCGCCACAGGTGGAGGCTTAGCCTACTATGCCACAGCGCTGGCCCAGGCCTTCCAAGCCAGGGTTCATCAGGAGGTTTTCGGTGGGTTGAGCCCATGCCCAGTGTGTCATCTCCACCTCCACCATCCGGTGCGGGTCAGGCTTTGGCGTTCATTCTGGCAGGACTGGCCCAGGCTGCGCGGCAGGCTGTTGGACAGGTTCCGTGGCTGCCTGGGTCCTGGAGGGAGTGGCCCCAGGTTAGGTACCCTCCCCTAGGGAGGGACACTAAACATACCCAAGCCAGTCAGGCCAGAGAGGTCAGAACTGGCAGGGACAGGCCACCAGCCAGAGGGAAGGAGGTGTCGCAGGTAGGACGGGTCCCTGCGTGCTGCCTGGGGTCTGTGCTGTGCGGGAGCCCCTGGCCCTTACGGGTCTGTGGCCTCTGCTGCTGGGTACCTGTCCTGTGGCTCAGGCCACTCTAGACTCACCTGGAGTCGCAGAAGGGGCTTCCGCGGGCTGCTCACAGGGGCTGTGGAGTGGCTCAGTTCTTCCCTGGGTGGGGACGATCTCCCATCAGCGGCTCCTCTGCTCTCCTCACCGTGTCGTCTCTGCCCCTGTGGATGTAGCTGCCCTGTTTGGACGACCGTGCTCTGTTCTGGGGGAATCCGCTCCTCCCTGGAGTCCTTGCTGGCCTCCCAGACTGCCCTCCAGGCTTCTGCCGCCTCAGCCCCCACCGGACCACTCCTCAAAGGCCTAGTCTGAATGCCTTGTCCTCGACTGCCTTGGCTCCGCCGCCCCCAGGCCCCTCAGGGATCCGACCCCAGCTCCCCAGGCTCGCTGTCCGCACCTCGCTCTGTGAGCGGAGGCCAGGACGAGGACGAGGAGGAAGGGGACAGCGGCCCTGGCTCCAGCCCCATCCTGCCCCCGGCGTCCCCCGTGGAGTGTCTCATCTGTGTGTCGCCCTTCGACGGCGTGTTCAAGCTGCCCAAGCGCCTGGACTGCGGCCACGTCTTCTGCCTCGAGTGCCTGGCTCGCCTGTCGCTGGCCACAGCAGGCGGGGGCGACGCGGTGGCCTGCCCCGTGTGCCGCGCTCCCACCCGGCTGGCTCCACGCCGCGGGCTGCCCTCCCTGCCCACGCAGCCGGGCCTGCTGCCCCGCGACGCGCGCACACCGCTGCCGCGCCAGGGCTCGGTGCGCTTCGACCGCCGCCGCGGGCTGCTCTACCTGCGGCCGCCGCCGCCGCTGCCGGGGTCGCGCAAGGCCCGCGCCGCGCGTGTGCCGCCGCCGCCGCCGCCGCTGCGCCTCGGCCGTCCGCTGTCGCGCCGCCTGTCGCTGAGCAGCCCGGCCTGGGCCTTCAACGCAGCCGTGGCGCTGGCCGTGCTGGTGGCCGCCGGCCTGGTGGTCTCCGGCGTCTACATCTTCTTCCTCATCCCGCACGCCTCCTCCTCGGGCCCCGCGCGGCCCCAGCTTGTGGAGCTCGCCCCGGCGCCTGCCTTCTGGTTCCCACCGCGGACCACGCCGGAGGCGCCCTGGACCCCCGGCTGGACGTCCGGCTCCACAGGCGCTGCCCTGGACTCCACCCTGGGGGATGTGGAGGCCTCCCAGGAGGCTGGGGAGGGCCTGGAGGACCCCACAGATCCAGAGGGACCGATGGACAGGTCATCTGACCTCGTGGGGGCAGCGCAGTAAATGTGTTGGTGCTGCAGGCCCTGCCTCTGGGCCCAGAGACCTGCGTGCCTTCTTGGGGAGCTTAGCAGGTGCCTGGCAGTCACCCATTTCCCAGACCGGGGCCTGGTGGAGCACAGGATCCCTGGCGGCGTCACCACGGACAAGAACCCTCTCAAGGAGTAACTGCCACAGTCTCCGATCTCCATACAGGGGTCCAACCGGAGGACCCTCTGACCGACTCCCGTGGCCATCAGCTGAGGGAACCCTGATGGCGGTCCCGGTAAGGATCTTGCTGGGGCATGCCGCCGAGCCTGATCCGTGGGGTCCAGTCAGGCGCATCCCAGCGCCTTTGTGGAAGGCCAGGGACCAGAGGGTGGCAAGGGTGATGCAGCAGGTGTCCGGGTCATCACTGCGCAGCCCTGGGGAGTGTCCTCGGCCAGCCCGAGGGCTGCATGCGCTGGGCTCCCTGCATGTGGCTGGACCCCTGTCTTGGACTATTATTCCCTGATCTTGACCCCTCCCCTACTGGCCCATTGCAAGGGACAGTCACTGCCCCCAACCTATCTGCTGCCTCCAAGTTGGGCCTAAGTGGGACTCTGTGGTCTACAGGTTGATCCTGGCTGCAGCTTGGGCTCAGAGGGGCGGGGGTGGCCCGGCTAGGACTGAGGAGGGCCTGGCTTCTACCCCAGTCTTACATCTGGGGTCTCAACTTCCCCTGTGGGTCCTAGCTCCTGGGATCCTCAGCATACTGTGGGGCAGCTATGGTCATCATGGCTCAGAGAGGTCAAAAGGAGGGGGTATCCCGGGTCTCCCTGGCACCAGAAGCCCCAACACCTTCATTTACTTTCTCGGGATCAGTCACTGCATTTTCTCCTCCAGGGCTCCATCAGCCCTGCCCAGCCTGCCCGGTGTCCCCAGCTGCATCCTCAGCTTTCTTAGTGGACAGTGGCCTCCAGGGAAGGTGGCACATGGGCTCCTGTCCTCCTCTTCCCAGAAGCCCTCTTGGGTTAGTTGCAGAGGGGTATAAGGCAGCTGCCCTCTGTGAAGACTGACACACCTTATACACCTTCTCCCAGGCCCTGGAGCCCCTGTTCTGTCTCACCTCATCTGGGGACAGGGTGCTATGTGTTGGGGTGAGCACCTAGCACAGACTTCTGTGTGGCCGGAGGCTCTGGTTTGAGGTGTTCACTCTCCTGTTCTCAGCACCTCACATACAGTGGGCGGCAGTCTGGGAGTGCTTGTGGACTCTCCACGCTCCAGACCTCCACGTCTCTGTGGTGCTAGTTTTGGCGTGAGCTGCTGCTTCTGGAGAGGAGCCTGAGGGAGTCCCAGGGTGTGCCTTCCAGCCCAGCTCCTGGCCCACACTGGGTGCCGAGGTCACCCACGGGGTAGGATCAGTGGACTGGGTCACTGAGCAGCCACAGCCCAGCCTCACAGGGAGGAAACCTGGCTAGGTAGGAGCAGGATTGGCCATCTGTATTTTTCTCCGGTTACTGTAACAAATGACTCCCAAATCCAATGCTTAGAAGGACACATGTTTTATCACCTCTAAAAGACAATCTATTCATGTAGGTTTTCCAGCTTTTAGAGGTGCATTTCTTGGCTCATGGCTTCTTCAAGACCATCAGCGGGGCCAGTGCTATGGCGTGGCAGGGTAAGCTGCTGCCTGAGTGCCAGCATCCCACATGGGCACTGGTTTGGATCCTGGCTGCTCCACTTCCGATCCAGCTCTCTGCTATGGCCTGGGAAAGCTGTACAAGATGGCCCAAGTCCTTGGGCCCCTGCACTCATGTGGGAGACCCAGAAGAAACTCCTGGCTCCTGGCTTCAGATCGGCGCAGCTCTGGACGTTGTGGCCAATTGGGGAGTGAACCAGCGGATAGAAAACCTCCCTCTCTGCTCTCCTCTCTTTCAAATAAATAAATAAATCTTAAAAAAAGACCAGCAGCACAGCATCTTCCAATCTCTCTAAGACCCTCCTGCTAACCTCTTTATTTTGTTTAAAAGGCAGAGATAGAGAATTGTCTCCCTTCTGTTGGTTCAGTCCCCCAAATGCCTGTGACAGCGGGGTTGAGCCAGGTCAAACCAGAAGCCAGGAACTCCATCTACATCTTCCATGTGGGCGGCAGACCCAAGTAGTTGAGTCATCACCGAATGCCTCCCAGAGTGCATCAGCAGGAAGCTGGAACTGGCAGCTAAGCTGAGACTCAACCCAGGCACTCCCACGTGGCACGCATGCTAAGCAGCATCTAAGTGGCTAGGCCAATGCCTGCCTCCATCCTCTTTCCCTTTAAGGACACTGGGAGTACTGGGCCCACCCAGATAATACAGAATAATCTGAATTTATTTATACCTGCAAAGTCCATTTTGCCAAGTAATGTAACGGGATCACAAAGTCCAGGAATTAGGACATGCATATCTTTGGGTGCCATTATTCAACCTACCTGTATGGTCTCAAAGATCTCCCTCAACTTTTCTCTCCCCATCACATCCTGGGGGCGTGAAGGTGGGCAGGAGTGGACCTGGCCTGGACTGACCCACAGGGGGAGAGGATACTGCCTGAGGATGGTCCAGGAAGGGTGCCTGGAGGAGGGAACCTCAGTTACTGTCAAGGGTGCTCAGAAGCTGGAACCGAGGTCGATGGCATAGCCTGCACAAAGGCAGGGGGCCTGGGGAGACAAGGTGATGGCTGAGGGTGGCCAGTGGGGTCGGCCCCTCCCTCCTAGAGGCTGCTGTGGACTTCTCCACCCTCCCAGCTGGGAGCCTGAGGCCTCATTCTCTCCTCCCAAGAGCATCCCTGTCTGCTGATTAGTACCTCGGTGCCTGCCCGCCCACTGCTCACAAGGGGCCCCTGGAAACTGCCCAAGCCAGGATCATGGGGTGCCCCTCCCCACTCTCGCCCACTGGCCTCAGCACCACCTACTCCACGGTTCTGGAGACACAGCCTCTCAGCCCTTGCTCTGCCTACCCCATCCCGCCGCACCCTCCCTCTGCTGGTACCTCTTGGCACTTCAGGCACCAGGCTTGCCCAAGAGAAGGGGCAGCCTCAGCATCTGGAACAGGCCAGATCTGGGTTCTCTCCTGTAAAGTGAGCGACGCAGAGAATGCATTCACCTACAAGTCATCACTGAATGCCTTCTCTGTACCAGGGGTGCACCAAGGCACCTTGGGACGGGCTGTCCTGGGTGGCAGATGAGGTCCAGGCTGCTGAGTGGAGAGAGCCATCGTCAGGCAGCACTGTCCCAGCTGCCAAGCTCTTGGGGATCCCCAGCTCCCCACCCCCAGGGGCTCCGTTGACGGGGACCCTGCCAGCACTTCTTCAGCGAAGGGCAGAGAGGGTTCTGCCCACGCCAGACCCATCCCTGGCCATCGCGGCCTCCTCTTCTGGTTAGGGGCCAAGAGAAGGGACTGTCTGGAACCTGGGAGCAGCAAAGTCCAGGCTGACAAACAGGGAAATGCAGGCTGACCAGTAGGACAGGTCGACAATTCGATGCCGGGTCCAAGGACTGAAAAACCCCTTCCATCTCCACGGCTCGCCCTGGCAGCCTGGTTTCTCCTTTCCCCGCCCCACAACTGTAGTTCTCTGCTACACCCTGGGCCTCACTCCCACGGCAGGCCACGCTGGGAAAGCAGAGGTGCTCAGGAGAGGCCACAGCCCAGAGGAGCGACTTCCATTGCTGGAGCATCCCATTTCCTCCACTGGCCTTGTGGGAGGGGCAGGGAAGCCCCGCCCAAATAGAGAGCCAACCAGAAGTCTGAGGCCAGAGTTGCTACCGGCGCCTGTTCAAGTCCTGGCTGCTCCACTTCTGATCCAGCTCTCTGCTATGGCCTGGGAAAGCTGGCTCCCAGCTTTGGATCAGCCCAGCTGCAGCCACTTGGGCCCTGTGGGGAGTGAACCAGCAGATGGAAGACCTTTTTGTCTCTGCCTCTCTTATAACTTTCAAATAAAAAATTTTTTAAAAATAGATAAATGGACAGTGAGTGGGACACAGCTAGGGGACTGCAGTCAGGGAAGCCGTCAGGGAAGCCATCAGGAAAGTGGGAGGGAGGGACAGGGCCAGCGTTGTGGCGTAGTAGATAAAGCAGCCACCTGTGATGCTGGCATCCCATACAGGCACTTGTTCATGTCCCAGCTGCTCCACTTCTGATCCAGCTCCCTACTAATGTGCCTGGGAAAGCAGCAGAGGATGGCCCAGGTGCTTGGGCCCCTGCACCCACGTGGCAGACTGGGAAGAAGCTCCTGACTCCTGGCTTTGTCCTGGCCCAGTCCTGGCCATTGCAGCCGTTTGTGCAGTGAACCAGTAGATGGAAGAACTCTCTCTGTCTCTCCCTCTCTCTCTTTCTAACTCTTCCTTTCAAATAAATAAAATAAATCTATTTAAAAGAGGATGAGAGGGATGGGCATCTGGGCCAGTGGATAAGACAGCACTTGGGATACTGGTATCCTCCATTGTAGCACCTGGGTTCCAGTCCTGACTCTGCTTCCGAATCCATGCCCTGGGAGGTATTTGGGTCCTTATCAGCCATATTAGGAACCCAGAAATGAGTTCTAGGCTCTTAGATTTGGCCTGCTCTTTGTGGGCATTTGGGGAATGAATCAGATGATGAAATAGCCCTCTGCATTGTCCGTCTCTGTCTCTCTCTGTGCCTTCCAAATAATGCATTTAAAATAAATGTTAAGAAAACAAGGTGGCATGTGGGAGCCCACCCCGTGCAGTCCCCAGGGTCAGGTAACCTCAGGGCCTTGCTGCCACAGGTGACTGAAGAGTTCGTGTTGTTCACCTGCGGACCGATTCGTGAGAGTCCAGCCCAGCAGAGACCAACCCACCTCGTGATAGATTTTGGGAGGTGAGAAAAATCCACATCTAGGGAAAAGCAATGACCTTCACAAACTGAACGTCCAGGGAAGGCGCTCAGGCAAAGCCCAGCGGATTCTCAACCCCCACGTCAGTGCCTGGCGTCTGACGGTGACTCAGCCGGACATCGGCTGCTCTGAAGACTTCGAACAGGAGAACTGTGAATGTGACGTTCTCAGCCTGAGCTAGATGCTCCTCCCAGAAGACGAAGGACCACGGCCTCTAAGAAAGAGGCCAACAGGGAGTGCAGTGGAGGATGGCCCAAGTGCTTGGGCCCTGCACCCCATGGGAGACCAGGAGAAGCACCTGGCTCCTGGCTTCCGATCAGCGCGGTGCGCCGGCCGCGGCGGCCATTGGAGGGTGAACCAACAGCAAAGGAAGACCTTTCTCTCTGTCTCTCTCTCTCACTGTCCACTTTGCCTGTCAAAAAATAAAAAAAAAAAGAAAAAAAGAAAGAAAGAGGCCAAGACTCCCGGGGGGCGCGGTCGCCCCGCCAGCCTCCTGCCGAGCCCTTGCCTCCGACACACTCAACCACTTGCTCACCCGCCGGTCTACCAGGCCCTCTTGATCTGGGACGGCAGACACGGGTCTGCTACGGGGCGGGGCTTCCGAGCCGTGGCCGTGCGCAGGTCAACCTGTCCCCGGCATCCACACCTTTGCGTCTGTGCAGGGCCAACGAAGACGCACACACCCAATCCAACCGCCCGTCTCCCTCCTCCCACGACCCCGGACCCCTGGCCAGGACGTTTTTCTGACCCTCCCTCTCCCGCTCGGTCAAGAGAACACCACGCAGAGGGGTGACTCCGGGAAGGCCGCGGGCACAGACATTTTGCTCCGGCGGACACAACAAGGCCACCTCTACAGCAGGGACGCCGGGGCTCAGCGGGACATCCCTGCGGTCTGCTCCTCCCCGGCTCTCGCGCCTTCCCGCGCCGGGTTTTCGCGGACCCGGAGCGCCTACTGGACGCGGCCCTAGCCCGTCTGGTGGTCCTAAGGCAACCGTCTGCCGCGGACACCGGAAGGCCCGCCCCCGCCGGCGCGGCCCGCCCAGAAACCCCAGCCCCGGGCCGTCCCCGGCTACGTCTGATTGGACGCGGGCGGCATCTCTAAAGGGAAACGCCAGTTCCACGCGTCCTTCAGACGCCCGCCCCGCCCCCTGTCGCCTTGACAACGACCAAGCGGTATAGCGCGCGGAGCCGGGAAATGACGTCACAATGTGAAGCGGGCGCTGCGGTAACCGAGGCAGCAGCCGAGGGAGCGGGGCGGGACTTCCGGCGTTGCCCTGGCTGTAGCTGTGCGGCCGGAGAGACGTCCGCGCAGGCGGCTGCCGCAGCTCAGGGGCGGGGGTCGTCACCGTCGCTTCACCGGCCCGCCCACCTGGGGAATGGCCGCGCCTCCCCGCGGCTGCGTCCCCCGCTCGCGCCGTGCGGAGGCGGCTCTCTAATCCTCGGCGGGGGAGTCCGGCCGTCGGAGGGTCTCCGGGGCTGGAGACGGCCGCGCGTCGGTTGCGTGTCCCGCTCGGCGAGTCTCGCGGGGCCGCGCTGCCTGCAGGTTCCGATGGCCGAGGAGGCGCAGGTGGGCGGAGGAAGGGAAGGCTGTGCCAGACGAGGGGGCCGAGGCGGAGGCGCGCCGGGGCCTGGGCAGGTGGCGAGGTCCTCCCGGGGGTCTGGGGGATGCCCTTGGTCTGGGGCAGGATGGGGTCTTAGCTGCGCCGTTGGCACCCTGGAGACGCCCTGTGCAGAACATGTCCGGAGGCCAGGGAGCTGCCTGTGGCACGAACTGGCGAGGTGGCGCCGAGGTGAGAGTGGTAAGCCCGGCGGGCAGGAGGCTCTGGAACCAGTTCCTGGGGGGCGTAAGGGAGAAGGGTGAGCTTGGGTGTGTATCTGAGAGGTGTGATCCCTGGGACTCGGAGGAACTGGCTGGCAAGAATTAGGGCAGCGCATAGATGGCTCTCTCCGGGCGCCAGCCTGCTGCTGTGGGCTGGGCGCAGTGTCCAGGTGTTCGCCTGAGGTCCTGGGAGAACGGGGTTATGAGCGTGTGTATGTGTGGTGAATGGCCGTGGAGGTGTGACAGAGCCCGGAGACAGACGTCCAGAGCCCGAGGTGCCTAACTGTCCGTTGGTCGTTGTTTTCCGCCCACCGTCGACCTCAGGCTCAGCGGATCCGGTCACTGCAGGAGCTGGTGCGGTTTGAGGATGTAGCTGTGTATTTCTCGCAGGAGGAGTGGCGGCTCCTGAATGAGACCCAGAGGAGCCTGTACCATGAAGTGATGCTGGAGAACTTCGCACTGGTTAGCTCACTGGGTGAGTCGCACAGCCTTGCTTTCTCCCTATCCACCTAAGGTTCCACGTGGCACTCTGCCTGAGTTTCCCTAATAAATGCTCTGTTGGCCCTGGTGTTCAGTGATTCTTTGGAATGTCACCTGGCCACCGTCTTCGGACATTGTAGGATACTCCATTGTGGGAACTACTATTGTTTTTTTTACATTTATTTATTTATTTGAAAGAGTTACACAGAGAGAAAAGGGGAAAGAGAGAGAGGTGTTCCATCCGCTGGTTCACTCCCCAGATGGCTGCAACAACTGGAGCTGCGCCAATCTGAAGCCAGGAGCCAGGAGCTTCCTCCAGGTCTCCCACGCAGGTGCAGTTGCCCAAGGACTTGGTCATCTTCTACTGCTTTCTCAGGCCATAGCAGAGAGCTGGATTGGAAGTGGAGCGGTCGGGACTCGAACTGGCACCCATATGGGATGCTGGCACTGCAGGCGGTGGCTTTACCTGCTACGCCCCAGCACTGGCCCCCTGGGAACTTCTTTGCTGCCACTTTGGGGACAACTGCAGCCTCAGATTCAACCAGACAAAATAATTCCCATTTGTAGTAAATTGAGTCTTCTCTCCCCACCCCCCTTTTTTCCCTCTCTCCCAGCCTCATTTCCTCCCTCCCTATCTCTCATTAGACTAGATGAAGGTTTGTCAATTTTATTGATCTTTTCAATGAACCAAATTTTAATTTTATAGATTCTATTTTTCTAATCTCTGTTTTATTTATATCTAATCTATTATTCCATTTCTTCTGCTAGCTTTAGATTTAGTTCCTTTTTCATTTTTTGCTCTTTGAGGTGTAAAGTAAGGTTATTGTTTTAAAATCTTTATGTAGAACTTTAAAAAATTATTTGTATTTTGGGGCCGATGCTGTGGTGTAGTAGGTAAAGCTAACATCTGCAGTGCTGGCATCCTATGTGGGCGGCAGTTCAAGTTCCGGCTGCTCCACTTCCAATCCAGCTCTCTGCTATGGCCTGGGAAAATCAGTGGAAGATAGTGCAAGTCCTTGAGCCCCTGCACCCGCGTGGGAGACCAGAGGAGGCTCCTGGCTCCTGACTTCGGATCAGTGCAGCTCTAGCCGTTGCAGCCAATTGGAGAGTGAACCAGCGGATGGAAGACCTCTCTCTCTCTCTCTCTCTGCCTCTCCTTCTCTCTTTGTGTAAAATAAATCTCTGTGTCAAATAAATCTTTAAAAAAATTTTTTTTTAATTTTTATTTTTATTTGGAAGACACAAAGAGGAGAGGCAGGTGGATCCTTCATCAGCCGAATCAATCCCTAAATGCCTAAAACAGCTGGAACTTGGCCAGGCCTAAGTTGGGAGTCCCAGTTACTTGAACCATAGCCTTCTTTCTTCTTTCTCCCAGGGTCCTTTTTTTTTTTTTTTTAATTTATTTTTTTTTGGTCAGGCAGAGTGGACAGTGAGAGAGAGAGAGAGAGAGAAAGGTCTTCCTTTTCCGTTGGTTCACCCCCACAATGGCCGATCCGAAGCCAGGAGCCAGGTGCTTCTCCTGGTCTCCCATGCGGGTGCAGGGTCTCCCAGGGTTCCTATTAGCAGGAAGCTGGTATTGGGAGTACAGCCAGGACTTGAACCAGACACCATATGAGATGCAGGTGTCTCAATCAGCATCTTAACTGCTGTGCCAAACAGCTTCCCTGAAATCTTTTCAAATATTGGTGTTTCTAGCTGTAATTTTCCCCCAAGGCACTGCTTTTGCTGTATCCCAGAACTTCTGATGTGTTGTGTTTTAATTTTTGTGCATCTCAAAGTGACTTTTTCCCCCTTGGCTCATTGGTTGTTTAGGAATGTTTTGTTTAAGTTTTATAAATTTGTGTTTTCCGGATTTATTTCTGTTGCTAATTTATGTTTTAATTCCTTTGTGGACAGAGAACATACATCATACATTGTATGATTTCAGTACTTTGAAATCTTATTGAAGCTTGTTTTGTTTTCCTAGAAAATATATGTTCTGGAAAATGTTCGATATTATTAAAATGTTCCATATTATGAAAAGAACGTGTACCTCTTATTACTAAGTGACTTTTTTTTTTTAAGATTTATGTATTTATTCTTTGAAAGGCAGAGTTATAGGGAGGCAGAAGCAGAGAGAGGGAGTCTTCCATTTGCTGGTTCACTCCCCAAATGGCCTCAAAGGCCAGAGCTGGGCTAATCCAAAGCCAGGAGCCAGGAGCTTCTTCCGGGTCTCCCACACAGGTGTAGGGGCCCAAGGACTTGGGCCATCTTCTACTGTTTTCCCAGGCCATAGCAGAGAGCTGGAACAGAAGTGGAGCAGCTGTAGCTGGGATTCGAACTGGTGCCCATATGGGATGCCAGCACTGTAGGCAGCAGCTTTACCCACTACACCACAATGCCAGCCTCCATATTATTTTTTTTTTTAAGATTTATTTTTTATTTATTTGAAAGGAAGAGTTACAGAGAGAAAAGGAGAGACAGAGATCTTCCATCCACAGGTTCACCCCCGAAATTGCCACAACGCCCAGGGCTGGGCCAGGCTGAAGCCAGAAGCCAGGAGCCCCTTCTGAGTCTCCCACTTGGGTACAGAGTGCCAAGCAGTCAGACCATCTTCCCCTGCTTTCCCAGGTGCATTAGCAGGGAGCTTGATTGGAGTGGAGCAGCCACGTCTTGAACTGGCACCCTTATTGGATGCCAGCATCACAGGCAGAGGCTTAACCTACTCTGCCACAATGCCAGCCCCTGACATTTTTTTTTTTTTTTTTTTTTTTAAGATTGATTTTGTTTGAAAGCATAGTTACAGAGATGCAGAGGCAGAGAGAGAGGGAGAGAGCAAGTCTTCCATCTGCTGGTTCACTCCCCAAATGGCCACAACAGCTGGAGCTTAGGAGATCCAAAGCCAGGAGCCAAGAACCTCTTCTGGGTCCCCAACGTGGGTGCAGGGCCCAAGAATTTTTGCTATCTTCTACTGCTTCCCAGGCCATAGCAGAGAGCTGGATCAGGAGTAGAGCAGCCAGGACTCGAACCGGTGCCCATATGTGATACTGGCACTGCTGGCAGTGGCTTTACTCACTACACCACAGTGCCAGCCCTGACATGTTCTTTTTAAAAAATATTTATTTATTTAATAAGCCAAATTTATATACATGGTATAGATATATAGATATAGATATATGAGGGGAGGACAGATGGAGAGAGATGAGAGAGACAGAAAGAGATCTTCCATTCACTGGTTACTCTCCAAATGGCAGCAATGGTTAAGCCTTGGCAAAACTGAAGCCAGGAACCGGAAACTCCATCCAGGTTTCCCATGTGCTGGCAGGGGCCCAAGTGATTGGACTGTTTCCCATTGCTTTCCCAGGTGCATTAGCAGGGAGTTGGATTACAAGCAGACCTGAGGGTCCGGCACTGTGCTGTAGCAGGTTAAGCCGCTGCCTGCAATGCCAGCATCCCATATTAGCGCTGATTTGAGACCGGGCTGCTCCACTTCCAATCCAGCTCTCTGCTAAGGCCTGGGAAAGCAGTAGAAGATGCCCCAAGCCCTTGGGCCCCTGTACCTGTGTGGGAGACCCGGAAGAAGCTCCTGGCTCCTCACTTCAGATCAGCGCAGCTCCAGCCATTGCAGCCAATTGGGGAATGAACCAGTGGATGAAAGACATCTCTCTCTCTCTCTCTCTCTCTCTCTCTCTCTCTCTCTTTCTCTTTCTCTTTCTCTTTCTCTTTTTGCCTCTCCTTCTCTCTCTGTGTAACTCTGACTTTCAAATAAATAAATCAATCTTAAAAGAAAAGCAGACCTGGCTGGCGCCGTGGCTCAGTAGGCTAATCCTCTGCCTGTGGCGCTGGCACACCAGGTTCTAGTCCCGGTTGGGGCACCGGATTCTGTCCCGGTTGCCCCTCTTCCAGGCCAGCTCTCTGCTGTGGCCAGGGAGTGCAGTGGAGGATGGTCCAAGTGCTTGGGCCCTGCACCCCATGGGAGTCCAGGAGAAGCACCTGGCTCCTGCCATCGGATCAACGCGGTACGCCAGCCGCAGCGTACCAGCCGCGGTGGCCATTGGAGGGTGAACCAACGGCAAAGGAAGACCTTTCTCTCTGTCTCTCTCTCTCACTGTCCACTCTGCCTGTCAAAAAAAAAAAAAAAAAAAAAGCAGACCTGATATCAGATACCAGTGGTCACAGGCGGTAGCTTAACCCATTGCACCACAATGCTGGCCCCAAGTGGCATGTGCAAAGGCTGTTGTTTCCTTGTTCATTTTCTTCTCAGTGGTTCTGTCCATTATTGAAGTCTCTAACCATTGCTGAATTGTTGAATTGTCTATATTTACTTCAGTTATGTCAGTTTTGCTTCATATGAGAGCTTTTTGTTGTTTAAAAACACATAATATATGACCTACCCTCTTAATAAATTTCTAAGCATATAAAAGAGGTTTATTTTCTAATATTCAAGTTTCCTTCCTGTTTGCCATGAAGCCATGCTTCCTATAGTGTGTAGCAGGGTGGGTCAGCCTTGACGTGGGGTAGCTTCTTACTACCTGTTACCCCCAGGACTTGCATCTTCAGATCCCATGTGTTTGCCCAATTGGAGGGTGATAAAGAACTCTATCTGCCCAAGTGGGTGGATCTGACTGGTCAGCAGAGCAGAGGTTGGAAGGGGTCCTGATTTTGGTGAGTGTAGCTAGGGGATTCCTTGGTTTTATCAGTGGGCTCCTGGCATGTTAAGTGCCTGTGTACACTGTTGTGTTTTATTGGTCAGTGGCCACACTTTATACCCCCTTTTCTTCTCCCTTCTGATTGCTGTGCAGTCTTGCCATCTCTGTCTATCATGACCCTGTAGCCCTGGGTGAGCCTACTGTCTGAACTGTGTCTCACCATTTTTCCTTCTCTCTGTCTGGTGACCATCTTGCATGTGATTTGAAATCTGCATATATCTTTAAATAATATTTGAACACCAGATAATGCTTAATATTTCAACATCACCTACTATTTTGTAATCAGATTTTGCTGCAGTAGACACATCTTCACAATGCTGGGGTGTTACTAGTAGCTAACGTTCTGCTAAAACCCTTTGCAGATGACTGACTTGGAGACCCCAGCCATCCTCCCTCTACTGCACCCCATTTTGTGCCCTCATCTCTGTTGAGGTCTTCCCTGTTCTCTGGTCTGGTGGATCCCTATTCTGCTGGGCCAGCCCTTCCTCATCTGTACCTTTTCAGAAACCTGGTAATGACCTGGAGACCTTTCTAGGTATATCTGACATGCACTGTTGATGAAGGTCTTGCTCCTTCTGTTTCAGCTCTCACTAACTGACTTTTCTCTGCTTTCAGGTTCCCTGAGTAGTCTGAAGGATAAGCAGGTGAGGAACTGCAGAGTCCATTTGTCCGAGAAACCCTTTGTGTGTGGAGAGCCTGAGAAGGATGACCCAGTCCCCTTAGACCTCATCAAGCACCAGGCCACCCATACAGATGGGAAGCCACACAGCAGCACCGAGCACGGGCAAGCTCTCCCGCTCAGTTCCGATCGTGAGCAGCAGCACGTGGTGCACGATGCACAGAGCCCTTTCAAGTGCAGTGAATGTGGGAAGGTCTTCCGGAATACCTTTGCTCTCCTTGAGCACCTGATAAGTCACTCTGGAGGAAGACCCTTCAGATGCCCAGCAGGCAGAAGATCCTTCAGAAAGAATTCAACTTGTGTTAGTCACAGAAAAATTCAAATGGGAGAAACACCCCATGTGTGCAACGAGTGTGGGAAAGCCTTCAGTTACCCCTCTAAACTGAGGAAGCACCAGAAGGTTCACACGGGCGTAAAACCCTTCCAGTGTAGTGAGTGCGGGAAAACCTTCACCCGCAAAGATGCACTGACTCTGCACCAGAGGGTCCACACGGGAGAAAGGCCGTATGCGTGCAGCAAGTGTGGGAGAGCCTTCAGTGTCCTGTCCACCCTCATCCGGCACCGGAAGGTTCACGTTGGAGACAGGCCCTATGAGTGCAGGGAATGTGGGAAGCTTTTCAAATACAACAACAGCTTCATTCTGCACCAGAGGGTCCACACGGGAGAAAGGCCTTTTGAGTGCAAGCAGTGTGGTAAAACCTACGTGACCCGCTCTGGCTTGTATCAGCACTGGAAGCTGCACACTGGGGAGCGGCCCTATGAGTGCAGCCTGTGTGGAAAAACCTTCACGACCAGGTCCTACCGCAATCGCCACCAGCAGTTCCACACGGAAGAGAGGTCCTACAAATGTACAGCATGTGGGAAAGCCTTCAAACATAGTTCTACCCTCCTTCAGCACACCAAAGTCCACACTGGAGAAAGGCTTTAGAGCAGGGCATGTGGGAGAGCCTGTGGCTGACGTCTCCTTCCAGGAGGACATTGAGAGAGTGCCCTCTGAAAGAAGCTGAACCTTACGCCTTGCTCCCGTGCCTGCCAGGTGTGGGAAGTTTTGGGGAGCTATGTTGCACTCTCTGGCCTGCCCAAGGTGGTTCCGTCACTGCCAGTTTCTGTGACGGAAGCCGTCCCACCTCCATCACCTGGCAGTCACCATGATGTGTTCAGGGATGGCAGACCTCATGCTCCCTTCTTCTAAATAGGAGAGAATTGTGACTAGCTGAGCCTATAGGTGACCTTATTTTCTCCCCTCAACTGGTCTAGGAGAAAGCATGACCCAGTCTAAGGTGAGCTGAGCGAGTGTTTGGTGGGGGAAGGGTAGGAGTACTTCTAGGGAAGGTTTGCCATTATCACGGATACACGCAGTATTTGTCATGCTGTGGCACAGAACATGATTGCTCTGGCATGTGTAGTGATAAAGGCTTTATTGTTTAAGATACCTTTAATATTGGGGGTTCTAATCCCTTGGTGTTGCGGGATTGAGAACAGAGTTGGCCTCTGTCACCAGGCTTAGAGGGCCTAGATTTTGTGTGTTGGAAGGGTGTCTCTGACTTTTTCTTGACCTAGGACAGCAGGGTAGCAAAGACTAGGTGTAGTTAAGGTTGACCTAGTTTGCGCTGGTGTCTGTCCTTGGGAAGGGCCGGTAGGCTGGATGTCAGGTTGTCCTTCAAGGTCCTGAGAAAGAAGATCCTGTAGTCCTGGGACATGGCGTTTGTAAGCCAGCCCCTACCTCTGGTGTCTGTGGGCAGTGTGTTCTTTATTGTTGTCTAGCTTTTGCTGCCACCCTCTGAAACTCAGTGTGTGGGTCCAGATTTGATTTGTTGGACCCTTTGATTTTAAAGATTTTGGAAACTATTTCCCTAAAAGGCAAATTGTCAGTTCAGCAAAACTTGTATGTTGGATGTCACTGTGTCTCTGGTCCCTGAGGAGAACATTTCCTGGGAGACATGTCTGGGGTGAAAGCAGGAGATCCCAGATGGAGAGGCTTCGGACCATAGTGATCAGTTTGTGTATTGGGAGGCAGCTGCTGCTGCCTCTGCCCAGAGTGATTCTTGCTCATTCTATTGATGACCACACCCAGACAAGCAGGCTTACAGGCAGGGGAGTTTGGGGCCAGTCTGCTCCATTTCTCCCCAGCACCATAAAAATACATGCCTACCCCTAGTCTTGCTTTGGTCTTCCTTAGGTGTAATAATTATCTACTGCCAACCTGGGGGTCTGTGTGGGAGCAGAATTAAAGTCCAACTGAGCCGTGTAGGGTGTAGGGTAGACCCTGGTCATTACAGCTCAATCCTTTGTACCATATATGATTAGCTGTGGTTAGATATCATAAAATGCCTCCCCTACCCCAGTATATGGGTTATGGGTCCTCTCCACCTCCCATGAAGCTGCTGCCTTGTGTCCTGCTGGGCTACATATAAGCAGCCAACCTTCCCAGGAGAAGGTGGAGGGTAATGTTTCCCTTGTAGAAGAAAGCTAGAACAAAGCCTGGTGACTGGCCCTTTTACCTGCCTAGGGTGCCAGTTTGGGTGGGGTTAATTAATTTTATCACTTTCAGCTCAGACTTCTTCAATTAGGGATTCAAAACTGGAATTTTGAGAGGACACAAATGAAAACAATTCCCTTGATGTGGAAGATTTTCAGCTCTAAAGCCAAACTCTATAATCATCATTACCTATCATAATAAATTAGCAGCCATAATCATTAATGACCAGGGTTGGTGGGAAAAGTGGAAAAAAGCCTGAGAAAGACTTTGCTAGTAACTGGAAAAGGAAGTATATTCATTAGTTGCTCATGCATCTACTTGTTTGTTCATCAAGTGCTGATCAGGCACATGCCTCAGGCCTGGTCATCATAGTATTCAAGCTGAAGCTGTAATGATGGGGCCGTGGGTGTTCATGTGACCTGAGCTATGCTAATGAGAGTCAAAGGACTTGCTGGAGTTATGAAGAAAGCTGCCATCTTGGCCCCAGGAGTTCATGTACCAGATTTGGGAGTTGTATCTTCAGCAACTGTCTTTCCTCTTCAAAGACAGATCAGCCTGCAAAACAAACCAAAACAGACAGGTGAGTGACAGCAAGGCATTCCTTAGGTTGGACATTGGGCACAGCAGTTAAGACACTACTTGAGATGTCTGCATTTTGTATCAAAGTATCTGGTTCCAGTCCTTTCTTCTCTGCTTCCAGTTCTAGCTTCCTGGCAATGCGAGTTCTTTCTCTTCTGCTTCCAATTCCAGCTTCCTGCTAATGTGCACCCTGGGAGGTGGCAGATAATGCTTCAAGTGTGTGGGTCCCTGCCACTCACACAGGAAACCTGGATTGAGTTCCAGGCTCCTGGCTTCAGTGTGGCCCAGCCCCAGTTGTGCGGGCATTTGTGAAGTGAACAAAATAATGTAAGTCTGTGTCTCTGCCTCTGTCTTTCAAATAAAGTGAAAATAAAATTTTAAAGATTGCTTTTCATCTCATTTAACCCTGGGTCCATTTTGCCTGTAGGTGTCACTTGTTGAGTGAGTGAGTGGCTACTCTGCATAACCTGTGCTGGGCTGAGACCACAGCCCCATCATCAGAGGTAACCGGCAAGGGAGAAAGAAGGGCACCTAGAGAAAGAGGGTTAGCAAATGCTCTCCCTGTGCTTGAGCAAATAAAAATTGCTGCTGTGTGAGGCGGGTGCTGAGGAGTAACAGGTAAAGCCACCATCTGCAGTGCCAGCATCCCATGTGGGCGCCAGCTCCCTGCTAATGCACCTGGGAAAGCAGAAGATGGTCCAAGTCCTTGGACCCCTGTACACACATGGGAGATCCAGAAGCAGCTCCTGGCTCCTAGCTTTGGTTTGCCTCAGCTCTTGCTGTTGCGGCCATTTGGGGAGTGAACCAGAGGATGGAAGATCTTTCTGTCTGCCTCTGCCTCTCTCTAACTCTGCCTTTCAAATAAATAAATAAATCGTTAAAAAAAATTGCTGCTGTGTGCTGGAGACTGAACTGCCGCAGCAGAGATAAAGTGCACAGGGGACCTCCCTCCCTCCCTCATGGAGCTGCATCCTACTGCGCAGACAAGCATTCCTTAGGAAACCGCTCAGTTGGCAGTCCTAGTAAGAGCTATGAATGGGTATCCTTGCAGGTGTTGACTGAAGCCCTTCTCAATTCCTTTCCAGCATTGTCAGAACTCAGCCGGGCCTGTGTGTACATGTTTTCCTGTTTTCCACTGAACTATATGTCTATCCCTAATGCCAGTTAAGCAGCTTGCCTCAGGTCCGGCATTGTGCTATAGCAGGTTAAGCCTCCACCTGCCACACCAGCATCCCATATGGGTTCCAGGTCAAGTTTCTGGTGCTCCACTTCGAATCCAGCTCCCTGCTAATGCTCCTGGGAAAGCAGCAGCAGATGACTCAAATGTTTGGGTTACTGCATCCACGTGGGAGACCCAGAAGCAGCTATGGGCTCCTGCCTTTGGCCTGACCCAGCCCTGGCTATTGCAGCCATTTGAAGAGTGAACCAGTGGACAGAAGATCTCTCAATCTGTCTCTCCCTCTTGCTCTATCTCTCCCTCTCTCTTGAACTCTACCTTTCAAATAAATAAATACATCTTAAAAAAAAAAAAAAAAAAAAAGCGGCAGCAGCTTGCCTTCCACATCAGAGTATCTGGGTTTGATTCCTGGCTCTGGCTGCTAGCTCCAGCTTCCTTTTATGAAATGCCCTGAGAGGCAGCAGTAATGGCTCAAATACTTGGGCCCCTGCCACCCACATGGGAGACAGATTGAGTTCCCAGCTCCTGTCTTCAGCCTTACCCACTCCTAGCCATCATGAGCATTTGGGGCATGAACTAGCAGATGGAAGTGTACTCTATCTGCATCTCAAAAAGTACCATGAAATATCAAGTACTAAGAAAGATATATTTGAAATATATGCAATACATACATGTGTACATATATTGAATAATATAAAGCATTTGCTGAGAGAATTTAAAATATGGAAGAAGTGTGGGCTGGCACCATGACACACTGGGTTAAGCTGCCGCCTGTTACACTAGCATCCCATATGCTGGTTTGAGTCCTGGCTGCTATGCTTCTGATCTAGCTCCCTCCTAATGCACCTTTGAAAACAGTGGAGGATGGCTCAAGTACTTGGGCCCCTGCCACACACCAGGGTTCATGCAAGAACTCTGAGCAGAAAACCTCTTAATTTGTGAGGCACTGAACAGGGTATATGGACAAATTCTGCCTTGGTATTGGGTTGCACTGTGTTCTTTTTTCTTTTTTTTTTTTTTTTAAATTTATTTTATTTGAAAGGCAGAGTTACAGAGGGGCAGGGAGGGGAGCGAGGAAGAAAGAGAGAGGTCTTTCACCCACTGGTTCACTCCCCAAATAGCTGCAATGGCCAGAGCTGCACTGATACAAAGTGAGGAGCCCGGAGCTTCTTCCAGGTCTCCCGTGTAGGTGCAGGGGCCCAAGGACTTGGGCCATCTTCCACTGCTTTCCCAGACCATAAGCAGAGAGCTAGATTGGAAGTGGAGCAGCAGGCACATGAACCGGCGCCCACTGAGATGCGTGACACTACAGGCGGCAGCTTTACCTGCTATGCCACAGCACTGGCCCCTGCACTGTTCTAACTGAACCTGTGCAAGCCCACGCCCAGCATCCTCATCCTCAGTACAATACATGCCGGAAGATTCCCCAGCTCTCCAGGACTCTGGGGTGCCCTCCAACCTGGAGAGGAAGAACTTTGAATTGGAGCTGGTGCAGTGGAGTGTGGGTAAAGCCGGTGTCTGCAGTGCCACATCCCGTATGGGCACCGGTTTGGATCCTAGCTGCTCCACTTCAAACTAGCTGCTCCAACTCCCTGCGAGTGTGCCTGAGAAAGCAATAGAAGATGGCCCAAGTACTCAGGCCCCTGCACCTGCTTTGGAGACCTGGAAGAAGCTCTTTGCTCCTGGCTTCAGACTGACCCTGCTCCAGCCATTATAGCCATTTGGGGGAGTGAACCAGTGGATGGAAGACCTCTCTCTCTGTGTTTTTCCCTCTTTTTCTGTAACTCTGATTGGCTTTAAATTAAAATAAGCTAAAAGAAGTGAATGGATCCTCTGCTTACAGGAGGATACTTCTCTAAAAAATAAATTAGAGGGGCTGGCCCTGTGGCATAATGGGTAAAGCCACTGCCTGCAGTGCTGGAATCCCATGTGGGCACTGGTTCTAGTCCTGGCTGCTCCTCTTCTGATCCAGCTCTCTGCTATGGCCTGGGGAAGCAGTAGAAAATGGCCCAAGTCCTTGGACCCTGCACCGGCGTGGGAGACCTGGAGGAAGCTCCTGGCTCCTGGCTTCGGATCAGTGCATCTCTTCATTGCAGTCAACTGGGGAGTGAACCAGCAGATGGAAGACCTCTCTCTCTGTGTCTCTCCTTCTCTCTGTGTGTAACTCTGACTTTCAAATAAATATTTTAAAAATAAATTATAAAAGTTAATAAGCTGGTTATAAAAGTTAATATTTGAAAATAATTCAGACATTTAATAATCTTTTCACAGGTTCAATCCCAGCCCACTGGCGGATCGCGTCATAGAGCTACAGGTGATTTTTACAGGTGATTGAACCTTTCTGGGGTTCAGTGGCAGGCAAAGGTCTGCACTAAAAGGCTGGCAACCCTGCACTTGATCTGTTCTGAGATCACCAGGAAAATACCACTCCTCTCTCTTTTTTTTTTTTTTTAAGCCTTATTTTTATTTATTTGAAGGACAGTTACAGAGAGAAAGAGAGGTCTTCCATCTGCTAGTTCACTCCCCAGATGACCACAACGGCCAGAGCTGAGCCAACCCGAAGCCAGGAGCCAGGAACTTCTTCCAAGTCTCCCACGCCGGTGCAGGGGCCCAAGCACTTGGGCCATCTCCCACTGCTTTCCCAAGCCATAGCAGAGAGCTGGATCAGAAGTGGAGCAGCCAGGACTCGTACTAGTGCTCATATGGGACGCTGGCACTGCAGGCTGGGGCTTTAACCCACTGCACCACAGTGCCAGCCCCCACTCCCTTCTTAATGTAGATCTTGAGCAGAGAGAGTACAAAATTACTTTCTAGCAGATGGAAGATCTCTGTCACTCAAATTATTTTTTTTTTTTTTTTTTTTTTTTTTAAGATTTGAAAGAGTGACAGGGGAAGATCTTCAATTTGCTGGTTCACTCCCCAAATGACTGGGACAGCCAGGTTTGGGCCAGGCTGAGGCCAGGAGCCAGCAACTCCATCTAAGTCCCCATATGGGTGGCAGAGCCCAGGCCCTTGGGCCATCCCCTGCTGCTTCCCCAGACCATTAGCAGTAGCTGGATTGGAATTAGAGCAGCCAGGACTTCACTGGCACTCAGATGGGATGCAGGCCCCACAGCTGGCACTTACCCTGCTGCACCACGACTCTGGCCCTGACTCTATCATGCCTCTGAAGTACATGCTTCAGGGCCAGCGCTGTGGTGATGCAGGTAAAGCTGTTGCCTGCAGCGCCGGCATCCCATATGGACACCAGTTCTAGTCCCGGCTGCTCCACTTCCAATCCAGCTCTCTGCTATGACCTGGGAAAGCAGTAGAAGATGGTACAAGTGCTCGGGCCCCTGCACCCGTGTGGGAAACCTGGATGAAGCTACTGGCTCAGGGCTTTGGGTCAGCGTACCTCCAGCCATTGAGGCCATTTGGGAAGTGAACTGGCATATGGAAGACTTCTCTCTCTGCCTCTGGCTCTCTGTGATTCTGCTTTTCAGGTAAGAGAAAGAAGAAAAGAAAAAGAGCCGGCGCCGCAGCTCACTAGGCTAATCCTCCGCCTTGCAGCGCCAGCACACCGGGTTCTAGTCCCGGTCAGGGCGCCGGATTCTGTCCCAGTTGCCCCTCTTCCAGGCCAGTTCTCTGCTGTGGCCAGGGAGTGCAGTGGAGGATGGCCCAAGTGCTTGGGCCCTGCACCCCATGGGAGACCAGAAGTACCTGGCTCCTGCCATTGGATCAGCGCGGTGCGCTGGCCGCAGCGCGCTGGCCGCAGCAGCCATTGGAGGGTGAACCAACGGCAAAAGGAAGACCTTTCTCTCTGTCTCTCTCTCTCTCACTGTCCACTCTGCCTGTCAAAAAAAAAAAAAAAAAAAAGAGAAAAGAAAGAAACACACACACACTCTTCACATCAGCTTCCACATCCAAAAGACTCAGGGCCAACCTTGTTATCTGCATTTTTCTCACTGCTCCACACCAGGTAATCTAGTTGGCACAACTAAAGCAGATCCATAGCTAACCATTTCTTTCACCTGCCAGGTACCCCTCTGTTCAACTACCACAGGTGTACACTTGGGCTACTGCAGTCACCCTCCTCCTGGTCTTCCTGCCTCTACCTCCACCATGCTCTCAGTCTGTTCTCCAGCAGGCAACCAAGGGAACCTGTCAAGACCACACTCGGGGCCAGAACTGTGGCATAGCGGGTAATGCTGCCGCCGCCTGCAGTGCCGGCATCCCATATGGGTGCCAGTTCGAGTCCTGGCTGCTCCACTTCCTATCCAGTTCTCTGCTATGGCCTGGGAAAGAAGTAGATGGCCCAAGCCCTTGGGCCCCTGCACCTGTGTGGGAGACCTGGAAGAAACTCCTGGCTCCAGATCAGCGTAGCCGTGGCCATTGTGGCCATCTGGATAGAAGACGAATGGATGGAAGACCTCTCTCTCTCCTCTCTCTCTCTCCTCTCTCTCTCCTCCCTCTCTCTCTCTCTCTCTCTCTCTCTGACTTTCAAGTAAAATAAATACATCTTAAAAAGACCACACTCCCAGCACCTCCACCACCTCCTGCCTCCGCTTAGAACTTTCCACATCTCACACAATAGAGGCCCAGCTCAGCAGCCTGCCTTTGCCGGCCTAACTGGTCCCACTGCTGTTTCTAGCAGACTCCACAGACTTGAGCTTCCCTGAACGTTTCCACCTCGTCACATTCAAGGTATTCCCTGTGCCTGGGACAGCCGGCCCAGACTTCACTCCGCAGGCCTCACGAGACGGGACGCCATCGCCTCCCCGCAGCCCCTGGCCTGGATGCAGGGTGCTAGGGGGAAGCACCGCTCAGGGTCAAGGAAAGGAGACTAGGATTCCAAGATCGGGAGGGCTGGGATCCCAGTGGGTGGGAACCTGCGCCAGGTCCGTCAGCAACGCCGCGGCTCCGACGGAACCCGGGCGCCGGGCGGGGTGACTGCGGGCTGACGGCCACACTCGGCCTCAGTTTCTCCAGATATGAAATGTGCTCCAGGAGCAGACAGCGGGGATCGCGGAGAGTCACGGCGCTGGTCCGACATTTGGGGAAACCGAGGCAGAGCTATTAGCCGTGGGGAGCCTTCTCTCTTTTCCTCTCGTCGGGAACAAGCAGCGAACCGGCGGACAACCCGCCAGACACAATATGAGACCGCAGTGGCGGCGCCGGAAGTCCTACCGCGTCCAGGGCGGGAGACCCGGTCGGAGCCCCCAGCGGCTCGGTGCACGCCGCCGACCGCAACCCGGAGCCTGCCTGGGAGCCCCCTGCTCGTTGCCAAGGTGATCAGGAAACGCGCTCCCGCTGCCTGGCTCACACTGCGCCCAATGGGAACCCAGGATGGGCGCTTGTGGGCGGGCCTTACGGACTCTCGTCCAA